TAAACTCCGAGGGATTATAGATTAGGTACCTAAAGACGTCTAGATCTATCTAGTCGTGTGGAATTCGTTCCATCAGACTATGAGAGTTTACTATAATATCTTCAGCGTAAAATATTACTTAATGAGACTGGTCGCGATCGAAAATTATAAGTCTTTAAGTAGTGACTTACCCTTTAGTAGTGACCCTATTATATTTAGTAGTTTATATTTACTGCCTCGGTGGTGTAGTGGCTAGCATGTACGGCTGCACACCCGGAGGTCCTGGGTTCGAGTCCTCGGTCGGGCCAAGTTTAGTTATTGAGTCTTTCTGTATAGTAAGCCTCAGTAACAGCCCGGAGTTAGCGATGTTTCACCCCCGTGCCTCGGAGAGCACGTAAAGCCGTCGGTCCTGCGTCTTAACTCTCACTGGTCGTGTCGAGTGGTCGTCCCACCAGAGTATGAGAGTGACAGGAACAGAGAGTTCACCTGTGTCTGCGCGTACACTTGTGCACTATAATATCTCCTGCGCAGTTGGCTCATCTTAATGAGATTGGCCGCCGCCGAGGCCGGAATCGGTCAGAAGAACATCACATTTAGCAGTGACTTGTCCTTTAGAAGTGCCCCTATTATATTTAGCAGTCATTTACCCTCGCTCTGCTCGCGTATGTCCCTAGGTGGCTGACAATAGCCTATATGTTGCTCCAGATCATTAGCTACAGGCCTATTTGTGTATAATTTCATCCAAATGTGAATGTTTTGGAGTATGTATGGATGACGGATTTGGATGAAATTTGGCACAAACATAGATTATAGTTTGGCACAGACATACATAGGCTAGTTTTTATCATGGAAAAATATATGGTTCCCGAGGGATAGATTTGTTTTTGTTTGTATATAATTTGATCCAAATCTATCCAGCCATTTCAGCGTGAAAGAGTAACAATCATACACACATTCAAAATTTCACATTTATAAGAGTAGTCGCTATTTACATTAATATGTAGAATTAGTTTCATTTTATGCTTTTCTTATATATATATATATATATATATATATATATATATATATATTCAAAGAATTCTGATTGTTTGTATGTAGAAATTAAAATACCATAATGTAATATCATAACTTGCTTTATTTTAAAACAACATCATTTACATTCATATACAGCAAAATAATTTCAGACAACATGCCTTATTATAGTAGTAACTTAGCAATAATTAGAAAATTATTATTAACACTTAATCTAGAGTGTAATTATTTTATCTCATTTCGCTTACATATAATTAAAATAATGTCTTCTTTAAAGGGTTGAAAATGATATGACATATTTTATTTTACTGTGAAAATCAAACTTTGGTTTATAAATTATAAGTATATATTCTATGGGAATGGAGGAGGTACATACATACATTTATTTAATAGATCTTATAAGATAAAGGTGTCGCATAGCTTTTAATGTTACATTAAGAACTGACTCGTCCGGGGGAAAGCTAGTGGGCGAATGAAAAAAACATTTTCTATATATAAATATTTCAGGCAATAACAATAGTTCAGTACCTTTTTCTCCTCTTTTTGCCAACCGAATTTCTTTTTTTTTTTAAATATGTTAACTAGTTTTAATGTATTAAATAAAAAAACGAAACACTTAGTTTTTTTTATATAGATAGGTAAAGACAAAACTGTAGTGTATTTTAATAAATTATAAAAAAAAATGAATATGGTCGAATTTCGACCACTGAGCCACTTCTTGTTACTCGTATGATAATTTTATATTTGTAGAAACAGTATGATAAATAATTTATTATAAGTAGCATTATAATTATGACTAGAATTTTTAATTATATTTTTTGACTATTATTATTATTTTATTTTAACATTTTTTGACCGACTTCACAAAGAAGAAGTTAATAAGTATGGATATATATGTATATTGTAAGGGTTATGAGATTTCTTTCAATAATTGAAAAACGATTTTCATGAAATTAAGTTGTATAAGTTATACCTCAAGGGTAGTCTCATATCTATATATAAATAGGCAAAGACAAAACTGGCTAGTACCTTTTTCTCCTCAGAACGTCGACCGATTTTCCTTAAATTTGTTTAGTAGCTATTGACGAGCTTTGATGTTATAAAAAAAAATTGAAAACATTTTTATAAAGATAGTTAAATTCTTTTCATATAATATATTTTCCTCAAATTTTCAACTTAATTTTGATAAACCATAAATACACCACTATCATTATAACTCCGCCTTGGAGGCGGAGTTATTAGTTTTAAGAATTGAATAAATAAAATAATATTTGTATTTATATAATTATTTTTTTAGATAAATTATAAGTAGTAAGTAATCATTTCAAACAGATAAAATATCTAGGTCGAATAGAATCTCTTCAAAAATATTTAGAAAGACAAAAGAAAATTTAAAAAACATTCGCCGGAGACTCTTACCATAATCTCTTACCGTAATAAAGCGTAAAAGACAACAATTTTCAAGTTTTAAAATTCACATATATCATACATATATATTTATCATTTAACTTAATTTTACATTTAATTTAACATTTAGTTAAGCTACTGTAGAATGTAAATAGTAAAACCAAAATTATGTCGAGCAAGTTCTCTGAGCCTTTATAAAACACACGGCTGGCAGGTTTAACCTGGCTGGAATTTGACAAAGTCCACAAGGAAATATCGGGTCATTTTTCATCATAACGTCTTTGCAGATATCGCTTCCATTGTGAATGCTTCATTAATTTCTTACATTTTGACATCTAAGAATAATAACACTATTGATTTATTATGGCTTTTTATAAAAAAATAATAGAATTCATAATGAAAAGCTACTTTTTAACGCTTTAATTTAAGTAGAGAGTAAAATAAAGCTATACGACCTTATTATTGGACATAAAATATTATTATAATATAACATTTACATATACTGTGCATTTAATTCATTAAATGAATAGAGTGCATTTATAGAGATAGTGAGAAGGTATATTAATAATATGTACATTCTTATAATTTATTATAGCAATTATTATATATAGAATAAATAGTTTTCTATACTTAAGGACATTAACATTCCATAAATTATTATTTATTTATAAATAGAAAATGTAATATTATAAAGTTAACATATATATATATATATATATATATATATATATATATATATATATATATATATATATATATATATATATATATATATGTATTTTTAAATGCCAAGTATTACTAACACTAACAGTTTTTATTATTATTTAATTTCTATTAAGTAATTAACTAGAATTTGCTAACATAAAGTTTTTTTTTTTTATATTAATAAAATAATTTATAATAACCTACACATATTTCAGTATCTTTAGATTACAATAAAAATTAAATTACATCAAGCGTATTACTTTTTAATTATATCTAATAAAACATTAATACCTTTGTACAATTATTATATCTATGTAATTAATATATTTAAATTTAGGTGTCTTTTTAATGGAACTTCAAAAGCACAATATCTTTAAAGTTATTTATGAATATACTAGCTGACCCGACAGACGTTGTCCTGTCTACACGTCTTTAATTTGAAAATTTCAAACTTTTTTTAATAAGCTAAAACATTCTGGACCATTTTGATGAAAATTATTATTCAAATTTTGAATATAAACCATTCTCAGATCCCCTTGAACACACACAAAAAATTTCATCAAAATCGGTCCAGTCGTTTGAGAGAAGTTCAGTGACATACACACTCACAGAAGAATTATATATATAAAGATTAAAAAATTATTTATGAATTCTTAGATTTCTAAAATATTTATTTCATATCTTAATATTTATACAAGGAATTAAAATAAATTAAGTATATTCTTAACTAATTAATATTTTTTTCCTAAAAAGGTTATTCGGATTATTACGAACATTTAAAAAATAGCTAACTTAGTTTTTTAACAAAAATTTCATTAATGTTGAAGGAAATATTCATGAAGGTTTTAATTTACTCTAACCTTAATTGTTTAAGGAAGTTTTGTGCAAAATTTGATCCTTTTAGATTCGGCGATTTATATTGTAAGTCTGGCTGTAAGTGAATTAAAGATTTTAATTAAGTAATTAAAATTATACTTAATATATTATGTAAAACAGATTTGATACCTCTGCGGTTCTTTTCGATTTAATTGTATATAAATCTATACATATAGATAATAAAATTCCAACTGAGTCGAATCTGTAAGTACATTATATATTTTTTAAGAAAATCGTATAGAAATAGACATTATTATCGATACAGAGGCCGAATCTATAGTTTTTAGATTTTTTGTCTGTCGGTCTGTCTGTCTGGGAACGCATCACAAGAAAACCACTTGACTGATTTTGGTAAAATTTGGTATGATGATAGCTATATAGTACTAGTTGTCCGGGTCAACATATAGGATACTTTTTACTGCGGGAAAATATCTCATCTCTGACAAATCTATACTAACCGTTAAAACGTTTCCAGGGACTTATCCGAGCAGAGCGAGGATGAGTCGCTATTATGAAATAAATCGCATCGTGTAGGAACTTACGTAAGTACTAGCGGACCCGACAGACGTTGTCCTGTCTACACGTCTTTAATTTAAAAATTTCAATTTTTTTTTAATAAGCTAAAACATTCTGGACCATTTTGATGAAAATTATTATTCAAATTGTGAATCTAAACCATTCCCAGATCCCCTTGAACACACACAAAAAATTTCATCAAAATCGGTCCAGTCGTTTGAGAGAAGTTCAGTGACATACACACTCACAGAAGAATTATATATATAAAGATATACAGCATACTTTAGATGCTACTACCAAATCAATGCTCATATACTCACGCAAAATGTAATCATAGTACATTTTAAATTTAAATTTATAACTAACTTTTTCGAAGATATCATATTTCAAGAATATAATATGAAGTTTTTATATATTCTTTTGTATGTATTACTTGATTTTATATACACAATATATGAATACTATAAGTAACAATAAACCGTCTATCTATCAATGCATTTCTCGTTTACGTCGGTGATAAAATCATTTGAATCTCTAATGGTCATGATAGTGACGCCGTCCGAACTGTTGCGCGATATGATGTTATTTTTCTTCTTTGAACTGCCGTAGTCGTAGTTCGATATGACCACACTTTCTGTTGGATTCCTATTTAAATTATATAATTATTACTACAATAAATAACTAGTTGTTAAGTATCGAAAATTAAGGTGGCTGTCGTGGGTTCAATTTCCGTATAAGTAAAAGTTATTACACATTAGGTAGATATACTACCTTTCGAGTAAAACTATTTTTTCAAATTCCTTCGCGTATTTTCTCACAATTCCTTATAATTTTGAGGTTAAAATTATTTTTTTTAAAAATATTATACAATTTTTGCCTTACAGAATTCGAAACATAGGAAACAAAAGTACCGCGACAAAATTCGGAAAAATAGTTTTATTTAAATGCTAACTAATCACGTATATCTAACAAATTCTTATAATCCAACTAAAACTTAAATCATGTACAGTTAAAAAATGGAAAAATGAAAAACAATGAATGGAGGACGTATAGAATAACAAGTAGGTATGTTTACATTAAATAGTTACGAAAATATCCAATATAATAGTACAATATGAGATTATTTTAATATTAGTTTCACTTATGAAGTAAAAGTATTTTGTAATATTCCCTCAAAAATCTTGCCTTTGAGAAAGAGAAATTTTATGAGAAAATGCCATTTTTTCATAAAACAATATTATCTATACAATGTAAATTTAAGTTAGATTTTTTCTAAGCATTATTAAATATTGAAGAGAGAAATGAACTTATAAAATAAGTAGTTTAAAAATAAAAGCCAAACGATTCTTACCGATTGCATCGATGTCGTTGCGTACTTCTAAAGGATGTTTCACATATAGCAGTTCTTGACAGCCTAGAGCTGCAAGATGGGTGTAACGCACCGCGCTGACAGCAAAGATAACGGTTGAAGTGCTGTCTGAAGACTCCACTTACACAGTACAGTGCGACCGGATTGACGCAGGAGTTCAGGAAACTATGTAAGAAATATAAAAAATGTTCAATTAATTCAAGTCAGTAAAGTAGATAGTTGAATCCAATAACTAGTTTTCGTTTGCCCCGTGATCTAAATTTGGGACCATTTACTGGTTAAATGTGGCAGTTAACATTTTTGTGTAACTAGGTTTTGTCCGCGGCTTCGCTCGTGTGATAAGCGAGGTGGCCATCCCAGAATACGTTCGATCAGTTGTCCTTGTTAAATTTTATTGAAATTTGTTCAGCGGTTTAAGAAAGAAAAGGTAACAAAGAGTTAGTTAGGTAGAGTTCTTACAGAACAGAGAGAGAAAGAGTTACTTTCACATTGATAATATTACAATAGGACGGACTTTGTCCAATTCCTAATAACGGTAACGATGAACATCTTTCCAATTAACCAAAGATATTTCTTTATCAATAAAAATTATATTGATATTAAATAATGAGCCTCTGTCATTTAGTTTTCTTCATCTAATCCCATAAATATTATAAATATGAAAGTTTCGATGGATGGATGTTACTCAATCACGCCAGAATGGCTGAACGGATTTCGATGAAGTTTGGCACAGATAGAGATTATACCCGTAGTATGGAATAGCATATAGGTTACTTTTTATCCCACAAAAATGTACGCTTCCTGTGGGACAGATTTGCTTTTGTTTTTCACTAGGAACGAACCCTATTAAAAGGAACTCTATTATCCTAAAGGATTTTATAACGACGTTATTCTAGAAATTAGTTCAGTTAATAATAGATTTCTTAGAAATTTAATTAATTTCTTAGAAATTTACCTGGAGGTGATATGGCAGGTAATACTATATAGTAAGTTATACTAAATGCTTACAGTAGCATAACAAATACACTAAGAACATTGTTTAGCTGATCGATATTAAATGTAATTAAGTGATACCAACCAGTAATAAACTAAAATAAATGAGACTAGTAATAAAATGATAATATTTCTCTTATTTGTAAAATGTATTTAATACTTTGTTTAACTCCACTGGGGGCTACTTCAATTCCGCCTTCAGAATCGGCATTGCTATTCAGCGCGCAAACAACGCGAGCATTCTTGCGGCATCTCTGCTGAGATGTGACTTATAAGGCAATAGATGAAACCTTTATTTTGTATAAACTTCACTATATAATACTTTCTTATATTTACGCGAATATTTGACATTTTAAATAAAAACTATCTTTTCGGATTTTTCGGGAGAGTCTCTCCCGTGACCATGATTGCTGTAAAGCATTAGAAACGCCGGGAACCAAAAATCATAGAAAATAGGAAAAGATAATTTTATTTAAAACTTCACTGTATATTATAAACTCGCTACTCACGCTCGCTTCGCTCGGATTCGTCCCTAGTAAAAAAAAACGTGTGTGTACTGTAATGTACTGTAGTAATAATAAACAATTCATTTGTCAACACATTCGTAACTCCAAGAATTATATGTAGATTTTATGCGGGCTATTAAACCGCGCGGTAATTTTTTCTTTGTTAAAACACAGTACTTACTTTCATCTCATCTCAACCTAAATACCTAAATAATTTGATGTCCTTGCGATTAACTTAAATTGGATAATGTTGTTTTAATTATTAATAAGTTGTTACATCGTAATTATTTTTTTTAATTACGTTTGAACAGTTATATTTGTTAAGTAGCGAACTTCATAAGTATGTACGCACGTAAGAAGACCTTCTGTGGTGTAACATAACAAAAATAGCCAAAGATTTCATCCCGTTTCTCACAACTCTCTGTTTGTAAAAAGAATGCAGCTAACTTCATCATGTCGCTTTTTGGCAGTCGGTGTGCGCGCGCATCGTATAAATTTTATTCTCATATTTTTCTTTCCAAACGTGCCAAAAGAAGTATAACTTCAAACAGAAAATCTATCCCCTACATTTTTTCGGGATAAAAAGTGATGTATGTGCTATATCAAACTATAATCTATTTCTGTGCTAAATTTCATCCGGATCTGTTCAGCCGTTCTGGCGCAATTAAGTAAAGTATCCATCCAAACTTTCGCACATTTAATATTTATGGGATTAAAGTCCCTCGCTGCGTTTAGTTTATTCAAGCTAATTTCAGAAATTACTAATTGGATTTTAATAAAACTTTACAATAATATAGTTCATACATCAGAATAAGAAAAAAAGGCGAACCCGAGCGAAGCGAGGATGAGTGGCTAGTTCCAAAATATATAGTAAGTACCGAAACACAAACACAGACCTACATACATTTTATTTTTTTACACCGAGAAAGCAATAACATTTAGATTTTTTTCTCAAAATTACAATATGTTACTCGAAATTGATTTTAGTAGATATCATCCGACCTTTAGCATAAAGATATAAATATGAAAGTTTGTGTAAATGTTTTTTTTTTAAGTTTGAATGTAACTCAATCAAAATCAAAGGATTTTAATCATACTTGACCCACATTATAGACCATGTCTTAGACCAACGAGTCATATATTTTTTAGGATAATTTTTAATACGGATATGTGTTTTTATGATATATATATTAATTCCACAAGTTATTTTTTAGTTTTGTACTTATAAATAAATATCTATTCGTAGCCTGTAAGAAATTAATTCATGTTGTTTTAATCGTTATGTGTTAATTTGTAAAACGAACTAAAACATTTTTCACGTGGGTGCAATAAATATTTTATATTTTAATCTTGCATCTAAAGTTATTATATGTTTTACAAGACAAACATTACTTCTGAATATTCATCATCTTTTGCTATTTTAAACTTCAATTGTTTTAAAACCGCGAAAGTTTACTCACGCTTCACCACCAACTGATTTAATCTCGGCGATTGATGCGAGTTTCCTACCCTTGAAATGAAATGCAAATTACTCATAAATTTTCCTCGCACATACATTAATATTAGCTTTACATAGGATATATTTTTGGAAGGTTTCGGAAGATATCTTTAGTTTTTAGTTAAATTTCCTCTAAAGGAGCAGGTAATATATTTTGAATGTAATGGATTTTTAAAGGTGAGATATGAACGTATATATTTTTATTAAAAAAAAAACAAAGAATTAGTATTAAAGAGACGACGCTTAATGAGATAAATTTTCCTTTCTACAAACACTCATAAGAATTAAAAAAAAAGACAAAAAATATGTAAGTACCTACGTAAAAACTTTAGATAATCTCAGCTTAAAACCTATTAGTATATTAAAATGTAAATTAATATAAACTTATTATAAGAACGTTAACTGAAATTAAAATTTAAAAGTATCAGTTTTACATGTCTTCAAAAGGTAATATACGCTTGCCGCTGCATCGCCAGCTGTTCTTATAAGCGATCGAAACTTGCAACTCAAACTCATATTTTCAGCAAGATATGAAATTTTATAAGTTGTACGAAGAATTCTACTTTGGAATATTACTTTATAAGATATTTTATAGTTTTTTTGTAATAATATATACTGGCTTGCGCCTACGGTTCTCGCGTGTTTATTTTTTAAATTTATACCTATAAAACAATAATTAAAACTACACGATTAAATCTAAATCTTAAAATCTGAAACCTAAAAAAAGTTTCATTGCGAACATTGGGAAAGCGTGGGCCAACAGCTTTAACCACAGTTATTAATTAAATATTTAATTTAATAACAACTGATAAAGTTACAATTGGAAGGTAGGCCCCGACTTATGTACTAAATAATCAATATTTCGATTTAAAAATTTGAAAAAAAAATCTCAAGTTTCCGGTATCAATTATTATTATTTATCAAAGTTATATAAAAAAAATTATATGCCCTTTTCTCAGTATTGATTCTTAACGAAATTAATAATATATATGAGTATATGATCTCATTTCTTTCAAACACGAGTGGAGTAAAGCTACTTTTGCCCAAATACTGATATCTCTAGGTATCCTCTATATATTCCACAGAATTCATTTCGACAGGAATAAAATGGCCTACGTGCTTGCAACAAATTATATGTACATAAAAATTTTAAAAATTCAAAAAGTGCAAATGTCCAATCATTTTTTTAAAACGACTGAAATGATTTTATCGGCGCTTTCGACTTTCATTATTATCTTGGCAAAAAATTGCGTAAATAGTATTAACGCGACTTTGGCTAGCAAAGAATTTCGAGTAAAGATTGTCAAAAGTGACTTTTAAATCTGAAAATATAAAAGTATTGTGTGTAACAGTTATTAGCACTCTTTTTGAGGTATGGGTAATCTATACATATAATAAAATTGTAACTAAGCCGAATCTGTACATTAAATATTTTTTGGAAAATATTATTGAAATAAACATTATTATTGATACAGAAGCCCAATCTATAGTTTTTAGAATTTTTGTCTGTCTGTCTGTTACCGCATCACAGAATAACCTCTGGAGCAATTTTGATGAAATTTCGTATGGTGATAGCTGGTTATCCGGGTCAACATATAGGATACATTTTACCGCTGGAAAATATCTCATTTTTGAGAAAAAATACAAAAACAGCACTGCAAGAAGTATACTAATATATAAAACCTAAGAATTTGGTTTTTCGTCATCTGAACGCGAGTGGAGCCGCGGGCAGTGCTAGTCAAATATAAATTAATATGCTGTATTGTTTAGTACATTGAAATTAACTTTTATATAACTTACCTTAAGCAGAATGCGATTATTCTAAAAGCATGAGTCCAGTCGTTATAGTCACTCTGCGCTGTGGGCGACAAGTAGAACCATACCTCCAAAGCATGGTATGGTAGAAAACAAACAAAGAACACTGTAACAAAAGCTAGGTTTTATTCACTATACATGCTTAGTGGTACACATGAACCTGATGATTGTGGTTTAACTTAGGAGTTCCAAATTTTCGATGACGAAATTGATGCGAAAATTAGCCCAAACTTCATGGTTACCACAGCTCATCACATTTATTTTAGTATGTACTTCTTGAGATTGTAGTCCCTTTGTTAAGCAAGCTTTTGTGAGCAACAAAATAAGTTTACTTATAGTTTTGTACAAATAGTTATTACCAATTTATTAATTTCAAATATATATATATATATTTATAACTTACAAACTACATATTTATAATATTAAATGTAGCGTAGCCTACATTTAAAACTTTTTTAATTAAGGATTGGAATTGTACTTAGCACGATCTGTAACGTAAGTATCTAGCTTTTGCTTGCATTTCGTCAGAGATACAAAGAGCTTAAAAGTGTCTCGAGCTTTTTTAGAAGAGGGTTCAGATGACGGCTGTTTGTTTGAGTTTGCCAGAACAACCATGACTTTTTATTTGAAATGCTTTAAATACGATCTGTCTGTATAAACCTAATTATTTACAGCTTTACATTTTTCAGTAGTCAAGTAGAATTTATTATGGAGAATTTCACTACTTTTTGACTTTAAAAGGTATAGAAAAAGTACTTAATTAAATTGTATGTTGTAAATTGATATAATTGTAAATAGATTTTCATAATATAAATATATTGAGTATATTTTAATTATTAATAGTGTAAATCTCAAGATAAAAAATTCCAAATCAAAAAATCCAGCTCCTAAATTTTAGTGATTTTACTGTTATTTTGCCTTTTTAGTGATTTTTTCCGACGGTTTAATAGTTATTCTGCTATTCAGGGTGAAGACAAAGCCAACAAAACAATGATCATAAAAATCAGTCCAGCAGTTCTCGAGTTATAAGTGTTGTAATAAACCCGACTTTGTTATATATATATATATATGTATTTCCAACTAATAAACAACCTTACTTTCTATATATCTTTTCATTCCATTATTATTTGAAGAGCTACTGTAAGTAACAATGAAGTATAGATAATAGAAGGTCTTCGAGTTCCAGAAACAACGGAGTCGCAACAACAACTAGACCACGAGTATATATCATCCTGTGCGAGATTGTAACTGACATCATATAGCTTGTAACATGTCGAACCAATTTATTAAAGATCATTAAAGTACACCATTAGTAAATAAAAATACAGGCAAATATAACAAGCAAAGAATGTAACCTTCATCTATCTATATATACTATAATAAAGCAGTAACTGAACGAAATCTGTACATAATTTTTTTATAAAACAATTACTGTAATGTATTATATAGACCCCAAAACAATACATAGTTATTAATTTTTTCGTCTGTTTGTCTGTATCTCTGTTTGTGTGTGACTCACGCTAAAAGTTATGAACCGATTTCAACGAAATTTGGTGAAGTGATAACTCGGGCCAACATTTAGGTATCTTTTATTTCAGAATTAAATCTTTCTTTCCCATGGGAAAACACAATAACTGGTTCTACCGAGTCGTCCTTAGAAATTTATATGGCTAACCCTGGCTGAACCTTAAGAGATACATCAAAACAATGTACTAGAGAATGGTAGACTTAATAAGTCCTATGGAAAAATTTGCAATAACAAAAGTCTTTCTCCTAAGGTACACTCGCAATAACTATTCATATCTATTAAGGGTTTATGTTCGAGGGTAAGTCTCTTTTAAAATAATTTACTAAATCTAATACTCAATAATAAAGCTAAATGGAGTATAACAATAGCACGTATTTCAGCGCTTTAAAAGTCATCTTATTTAATGTAACACAATGAGCTGTAATTGGCTATCCTATTGATGCCAACAAAAGAAAAGAACCCAAAAAAAAAAATTGTATAATAGTCTATTTTTTAGGTTGCTTCTTCCATTACCTTCATTTAGGTATTATAAAAATCAAATGGAAATATATTGGATTATAAGCCTCGTTTGTACCAAATATGTATATAGAAATTAATTATTTAAAGTAATGAAAGCTCGTTGCTTGATGTAACTTAGTTTGTGCTATGCTAACAGTTACAAGTACTCTTATGTATATAACCAAAATACTCTGTTATTTACTTTTGCAATGTAAACGCGTCTTCCACAGACTACGTATGTATATAATATGTATACTTTACCTAACGCCTTTGAAAATAGATCTCTGAAATGTCTTTATATTATATCTTATATAGCACAGTAATTTAATATAGAATATGGATATAATAATTAAATAAGAGCTTCAATTAAGTCATGTCAAAAGCTCTTGGGTACTCCAAAAAGCTCTAAAACTAGAGATGAGTGCAACCTAATGATAATTTATATATTTTATGTTTTACCTGGTTTTTTGACATGCAGTGAGAAGGAAGGAGAAGAGGGTTATTAGAGATGGGAGGTAGAGGGAGTGTCATGGTATTTGGGTAGTGTCTATTTCTTTTCAAATATGTTTGTTTTATCTTTAATTATAACAAGAAAAATAAAACCTTAGTTTTTCTAAGATCTTTCAGGAAATACAACTTTGAGAAAACAAAATAAAAGACCAAATAAAGGAGGAATGAAAACTTTTCTTTTGTTAGTGATTAATTAAAAGTAGCGAACAATAGTAGGGTGTAAGTTTTAATGAGGATGTTTATTTTTTATTTTTCATATTTATCAACTAATTTAATTTTCAATTACGTATACATACGTACAACTACAATATAACTTTAGTAACGTTTTCACTTTTATATATTACTGGGTTTTTATATATTATACTAGCAGAACCCGCGGCTTCGCTCGCGCTAAAACTATAAAAAGGCTAAAAAGGTACAGGCAGGTTTCGTACAAATTTTCATCCCCTATTTTACCCTCTTATGGGATGAATTTCGAAAAATGCTAAAACATCTTTTTGAACAGAATTACTTGAAACTTGGTATTAATGCTCTTCAATAAAATTAAATAAACACGTGTTTTAGCATTTTTCGAAATTCATCCTTCCTATAAGGGGGTAAAATAAGAGATAAAATTTTGTATGAAACTACCTTTTTAGAGTTTTTTTTGTAGGTTTAGCACGAGCGAAGCCGCGGGTTCTGCTAGTGTATGTATAAAGGATTCAAAGATTTTTATATGAAAACTAGCATTACCCACCCGAAGTATTTTGATTTTCTCTTAGAAACGATGTTTGATAAAATGGATATATGGACAGAGGAAACTAATCAACGGGAACTATGTGAATTATAATTTGAATATAGCGGTGAATTTTTTTTTATTTTTTATCATCGTTTTCATGTAATAAAACTACCTACAAATATCTTGGAAACGTAATATTTTAGGGCACTATATTGCGGACTTTTTTTAAATTTAACTGTCTATATATCACGTATTTCATTATTATCCGCAAATTTACAAAAAAATAATATATAATACATAAAAACCCAGTAATACATAAAAAGTGAAAACGAGATTAAATAATAATAATTTGATCAGTTCATTATAATTCATTTCATTTAACCTTATTTGTTTGAACAAAACGTAGGTAACTTACCTATAACAAATATCAAAACCATGCACGCGACAGACTTTCGAGCTTTCGCCTGAGCTTCTCCTTGGCCGCCGTGTAACGCTCCGGGCATCTCTTTAGTACTTGCCAGTAATCGTTGAGCCATTAGAGAGTAAAAGAATGCGATCACCAAGAGCGGCAAAGCGTAATAAACGACCGCCTTAATTAATGTCATCCATCTAAAAATAAATAATAAATAAATATGTTGGGACATTAAGACACAGCGCCATCTAGTACCATGGTATGCTACGAGGCCTGTGTTATGGATACCAGATAGTAGCTACACTACACATATATTACTTTAAATACATACATATTATAAATATAAAACACCCATGACTGGAGCACAAACATTCGTGCTCATAACACAAATGAATGCTCTCAGCGGGACTCGAACCCGCGACTGCTGGCACGGCAAATAGGGTCACTACAAACTGAGCCAAACATGTCGTCAACTTTTTAATTAAAAATAAAATAACTTCTTAATTAAATCCGGTTATATAATTACTTTAATAGCAATTAATCCCTTGTTAGAAGTAAAATTTTGCATATTCATTACGAAAAGAATAATGACAATCGATTTTCAATTATCGGCAAAATTGGCATTTAACATACACAAAAACACTCGAATTGAGTATCACCTCCTGTATTGATGTCAATCATACGCATTCTTATAAAATAATAGTATTACAATGGAAAACCATGTCCTTGATAGAAACCAATACATAAGATATTCAACCAATACAATTTATTAAAAATCATCTAATATATAGAATAAACAGACAGAAAAAACCTTTTAACGGTTATTTAGGTTTTAGGTATCGTGAACATACATCAATTTCATTGATAAGCAGGTATAGATTATATAAATAAATTACAGCCAGTGAACCATAAAAGTATCGAGATTACTTTTTGCCTATTCGTGGAAGTATTACATCGAGGCTATGATATCTGCGAAAATATTTCATCATATTTTAATTTAAACTGTATTCAGATGCGTGAACTTCCTTAACTCAATTAGTGGTGGTAGTTTCGTATTGAAATAATACATGAGCAAAAGTTCTAAATAACATAGTATTGCTAATTAGATTTCCTTAGGCACTATTAATATATAATTTATATACATAAATTGAAGTGCCTGTTTGTAACGTCAAAATAACAGCTTTTTTACCAAATGTACATTATATTATATACCATACACACAATTTTTAAAATTTTTGTCTGTCTGTCTATATGTCTGTTTGTTCCGGTTAATATCTGAAACGGGTGGACTGATTTTGACGGGAATTTCACTGTCAGTTAGCTGATGTTATAAGGAGTAACTTAGACTACTTTTATTTTAGAAAAAGAATTAGGGTTCCGCTCAAAAAAAATAAAAGTACCTAGGTTCCTAGTACTTATATAATATTGTAAATTGTATTGTTACAAACATTAAAAATATCTTATTCAAAATAACTTTCATAATACGCTTAACCAAATACAAACTAATATAAAAATATCTCAATAAGACAAAGGATAATATATTTAGTTGCAAGTTTAACTAAGCGTAGGAAATAGCGTCTAAATGAATCTCAAAAGAAAACTGAAAAAGATTCGCCTTTGGAATTTGTAAAATGACTTAAAAGAAGGTACCTATATAGAGTTAGTAATAGTGTAGTGTTAGTGCTTTTTTCTAAGAAATAACAACTGCTTGACACTGATAAAGGCATTATTCGCCTCGAGTTTCGACATAAGTCGTAATTAATTAAATTTCAAATTAAAATAGTCAGACGAGGATAAGAAAAAGTAGATGGAATTCTCATCAATTTTCATCATTATTATGGAATCGTGTCAACTCTGCAATAAAGATTAAGTGTTTAATTATTTATATATGTTAGTTTTAAGGTATATATGCTATAGGCCTCTGTTTACATATTTAAGATCCTTTTGTAAATATTGCCTGAAATAAATTATTAAATAAATAAAAAAGAAATTTACTATGCAGAGTAAATTTAAAGATTGTGTAAGTCTACAGGTAATTGATTTTTAATGCATTTTGGTATTACCACAGACCACATAATACTATATTAGTACAGATGCCTCATTCCATACAAAGAAATTGGTATTACAAACAATAGCAGACTTTGTTAAGTTAAACATACTAACATACATCTATTTCTTTATAGATTAAGTTTATGGACATTTAAATATTTATTTGCTATTTGACCCGACAGATGCTGTCCTTTTCAATAAAACTTATAATCTATGATGTCATACGAAAATTATATAGAAAAGAAACACTTAAATTTTATCCATATTACCCAATTTTTTGGGTATTTTTTTTATAAAAAAGTTATTAACATAATCATGAACATTTTAGCTTAAATTTTTCTATAACAGACTAGTCTTTGTCAAATGATGCGTTCACCAAAGAACTGAATTTCATTTTTCAAATGGCTAAAATATAAGTATTATAATTTTCCCTTTTTTGTCATGTCTGTCAGTCCATTTGTAATCAAATTACAAAAATAAACTACAGGGGTACTACTCCATACAAATTAATAAGCTTGCAGCCTTGGCTGGTCTAAGTAGGCGAATGTTGTCCTACTACAGGCCTTGATTAGAAAGATTAAAAACAAAAATTTGCATTTTAAAAACAACGAAATGTACTAAGCTAACTAAAAACGATTGAACTTAAGACGAGTAACAACTATATAATGACATTTAAGACATCTAAAATTAGTCTCTCCCGTGACCAAGATTGTTGTAAAGCATTCGAAACGTCGGGAACCAAAAACCAAAATAAATCCGCGGAAAAAACCGAAAAGATATTTTTATTTAAAATGCCAAATAATCGCGTAAGTCTAAGAAGGTATAAATAAAAAAAAAAACTCAACGACTCTACTCATCAGGACTGCATTTCGAGCTACAGATATAAAAAATATAGAGGTTTCTTTACGAATTACAATATTTATTTTATACTTACTGAGTATTCATAAACCTATTAGGCCGTACATAATAAATAACATATATATATATATATATATATATATATATATATATATATATATATTGGGAGATTTGCCAATACCGTGGGACGTGGACTATCTCAATAATTTCTGAATAATGTTCATTTAATTTACTTTACACGAGAATCGAACACGCGACCTCAGTATAAAAATGCTAGTTATATACCTCCCATCAAAATTTAAACTGCCCATTAAAAATTAATGAAAACTTCCTTATAATTTATGCAAATGTTATACTTACTTAGAATAATTATTCCACTCAGGTGGATAAGGCGAGCAATAAACAATCGAAACGTTGGTGTATATATCTTCTGTGATTGTGCTAGAAAAGAGCGCTGCTGGCGCTGCAAAGATGAGTGCAGCAGCCCATATGATTGTCGCACATACAAGAGGCAACTTGCGAAGCTGAAATGAAAAAATAGCTATAAAACTTCATTTTGTATGAATAGATGAATTCACTTTGATATTCACATTCCTAAACACTTAGAAATTTTCATATTATTTTATGCACGTGTGCATTTCTAAATTTGTATAGGGTATGTTTTTTTCTTCTATTTTCCTTAGACATCGAGAGAGAATTGAAGTATATGAGAATACCCAATAATCTAAAATAAATGTTATCTGTTTTTTTTTTACGATTTTATGAATTTTTATAACCCAGGCTTTTAAGTACGTTATTATTATTTTTATTGTATTCATTAATTATAATTTAATTACATATAAACATTACAATGGAACAACTTATTCCCAAAAAAGTTTTCAACACAGGTTGAGTAAACACCCTTTTTGTAACAATACACTGGTGTGGAGATTTTTATATTGTCCTTGTTTATATATATATATATATGTGTGTGTGTGTGTGTGTGTATTGTTTGATTCTATATATTATGAATATAGACACTTAAGTACTAACAATCCTTTTTACTTTAGTTTTACTAACGATACTAATTAAATAACTTTTAGGTAAAAAAAAACATTTTTCCTTGTGTTAACTTTACTTTGCAAGAAATATAAGGCTTTTTTATTTTATTTATTGTTTGATTCATCTATAAGTTGTTTACTTCTTATATTACTTGATTTTTAAGCAGTGTATGGGCAAAAATATAGTTTATTCTATTCTAAACTATTACAGTATAAGTTACATATTTAAAACAAAGAAGTGCGAACCGAAATATAACATTTACAAATGTTACAATGAAGTTCTCTAACGAGCCGACTATTCACAACTTCCTAATTAAGGAGCATTTAGTTAAGGACGTGCTATATACTAATTACAACGACTAAATTAACCATTCCTGCAGACAATAAGGTCACATTACATTTTAATTTTAGACTATTCAAATGAAATAGAGTTGTAACATTATATTTTATTATTTTAGGGTACAAGGCAGTGGTAGTCCAGTGGTAACGCGCTTGCTTGGGAAACCGAGTGAAGCGGGTTTAAATCCCGGGTCTCGCACCTCTGATATTTTCATGTGCGAATCATTTCTAACATGATCACCACTTGCCTTACGGTGAAGGAAAAACATCGTGATGAAACCTGCATGTCTGAGAGAACCTAGCAAGTTTTCGAAAGAAATGTGAAGTCCGCCAACCCGCACTATGGCCTGATCCCCCTCGTATTGAAGGGAGACCCGTGCCCAGCAGTGGAACGTTAAAAAGGGCTGAATAAATACGTACATACATACATACAATTTAGGGTACAATAGCTAACAGATAGTTGAAATTGTATGTTTTAGAACAGAATAGATAAAACTTGTTTTGTACATAGCATTGTAAAAACGCAAACGTATCAAAAGCAAACTTGAGTTATTCATCATTTAAAAATTACATCTTTAGTCTTATTAATCAATCGATATCTAAACAAATATAACATAAAATTTGTGTAGGATTGAAAATTCTATTTATTGGATTTATATATACTCATGTAGGTAGATATGTGTGATTGTACCGTTCGCAAAGGTAAAAGCGTTATGCTAGATAGCCCATTACATTCCTTAATGAATAAGCTATAAAATTCTAAGACAAACATTCCAAATGGGTTTTGTAGTTCCAGAGATTACCACTTTTAAACAAACAAACAAAATTCCTCAGTTTTATATCTTTACATTAAGCATATATGTTGATTCGAAGCTTTGTAACCTTATAAAAGCTCTTATCGAATATTGATTTATCATATTCTAAAACCATCATCCTAAGTAACGCTACAACGTGATTCAATATACAAAAGCTATATTAAAGCACTAGCACTGCCCGCGGCTCCGCCCGAGTTTAGATGACCAAAAACCAAATTCTTAGGTTTTTACATTGCAGTTTTTGTATGTTTTCTCAGAAATGAGATATTTTCTGACAATCCCATATGTTGACCCGGATATCCAGCTATCACCATACCAAATTTCATTAAAATCCCTCCATTGGTTCTTCTGTGATGCGGTAACAGACAGACAGACAAAAATTCTAAAAACTATAGATTCAGCTTCTGTTTCGACAATAATGTTTATTTCAATAAGATTTTCCAAAAAATATTTAATGTACAGATTTGGCTTACTTAGAATTTTATTATATGTATAGATATAGGATGAACAAAATTTACCTGAAGCTTTCTAAACGGGTTGACAATAGCACAATATCTCTCAGCCGATAGAGCAGTGAGCGTGAATACGGACACGCCTATACTTATGTCCTTGCCAGTCTCGGATATCCTGCATATAGCTTCTCCCCATGGCCACGATTCTAACGTGTAGATGACTGACACGAACGGCACGCATATTAATATAACAAGCAAATCTGCGAGCGCTAGTGAGAATATGTATCTGCGAAATGAAATACTGTTTGTAACATTAATTTTGTTTTGATATTAAAATTAAATCAATTATAATTTTATATACTATCTACTATATAGGGTTAATCAATTAGAATATAATAAGGATTTATTAAAACAGTGATGTTTGCATCAGACACTCATCTTATTCAACGTTGGGGGGAATATGTAATGGGCCATTTGGTTGGCGGCCATATTGGATTTGGATTTTTTTTTCGTAGTCTACTGTATCCTACTAGTCAAATCCTATCATTCGATACCCATATTGAGTGTGTTGTGAAAAAATATGTAGTCCGCCACTTTGTAGCAGCGGCCATCTTAGATTTACAATGATGATGATGTTCTCCTAGCCGATTCCGGCTACGGCGGCCAATCTCATTGAGATTAGCCAACTGCGCAGGAGATATTATAGTGCACAAGTGTACGCGCAGACACAAGTGCACTCTCTATTCCTGTCACTCTCATACTCCGGTGGGACGACTGCTTGACACGACCAGTGAGAGTTAAGGCGCAGGACCGACGGCTTTACGTGCTCTCCGAGGCACTCCGGGCTCTCCGGGCGGTAACTGAGACTTACTATACAGAAAGACTCAATAACTAAACTTGGCCCGACCCGGGACTCGAACCCAGGACCTCCGAGTGTACAGCTGTACATGCTAGCCACTACACCACCGAGGTAGTTATTTACAATGATGCTGAATATATTAAATTGTATTGTCATCGGAACTAACGGTGTGTACCAAGTATCAGATCAGTCAGTCAACAGGAAAGTGGTACAATTTCAATGACTAAAGACCCCAAAAAACAAACAGGACAACATAAATAAAACCGTTTAAAAAGAAAGGTATGATTACATTCTTTAACATAGTAACTAAAAAGTATCTAAATTATTTTTATATGGTAAATGTATCCAACTTGTACACCATATATACACACTTTTTTATATTTTGCTTCTATTTTAAAAGTGTATGTATTGCTTAAGGGTCGACCCTATTCAAAGTACCTAACCTTTCGCCCACGTAAAGTATGACATGATGAAAACAAATATTTGCTAAGTGGGTGGAGTAGAGAGATATACATATATATTTGGTTTTCGTTTAGAAAAAAGTATTATGAAACACAGTTTTGATCTTTATCTTAACCTAACCCAAGTAAATATTTATTAAACATACTTATAACTTATTGCCTATTTTCCCTTCCCTTTCTTTATTTTATATTTTCTACAGTAGAAATTGCATTTACGCAAGTTAAATTTCAATATAAATTATTTTACAAATATATAAATATAATTGTCAATATGATCATTTACCCTGAGCAGGAATCGAACTGGCCTATGGTAGAGTATGAAAAATAAGAATCAAAAAGCAAAAATAAGTAAAGACTTACGTATTAGGCGCATTTCTCATGCCTCTGTGTCTGACATACACTATGACAAGTGTGCCATTGCCCAAAACGCCTACGATGAAAATGATAGCAAATATGACTGGCACCAAGTAAGTTTCGATTCTCTCTTTATAAGGAGTGTAATCGTTTTCCGTCGCATTGTATTCGTACATCGGTGTGCTTGCATTTGTGAGTATGTACATTGTGCCATCTGTAACAAAAGAAAAAGATTTTAAATATCGATGTATCTTTCTTTAACGTACTTCGTTAAACTCTTCTAAGAACATCTATATAGTAAAAATGAAATGCTATTCTTTGGTAAGAGCATCGCTTGAGAGCAGCTGGAGCGAATTGGATAATTTTGTTTGTAGAATGTTCGTAATAGTTCGATCGAGTCACCTAGAAAAAAGAGAAAATTCGGTAGAAATTGTAAGGGTTTATTTCTATAGAATTTTTATGTCCTTAAAGGTTACATTCACAAATATTAAAATTAGGACAAAATAACTGACTGTCTGTCTGTCGGGTTAGCTGGTTAATAATAATTCTTATGTTTTATCTTTACCTGATTATGTTTTATTAAATAGTCTATTACTCTATTCAGTATGTCACATGCAATGTTGGGCCTTACTCGTATGCTATTTGCTAAATAATAACATACCATAAAAAGCACCATTATTATTTATTTCAAATATAACCCAAATAAAGCTGATCATCCGAATTCGGAATTCGAAATCAAAAATCAAATCATAATATACTTTATTCAAATAAACTTTTACAAGCTATTTTTATCTATCAATTTTTACATTTAATTAAATTTCAGTGTTGTAGGTTCGTGAGGAAGATGTCATCGGATAGGAAGGCAGTTCTTCTAAAAAAAGTAAGCGAAAATGAACCGAAAAATATGAACCGAACTATAATATATTATAGTTCGGTTCATTATTATAATAATTATGGACTTTTAGTGATTATTACCTACGTGAGTATCAACTAGAATTAGTTCTGCACATCATTTATATCTGCAAGGTATTCTGTGACGGAATATTATTGTCGCATAGTGGAGAGTGTGTAGCATCATTCATTACACTAAAAATAATAATTAAAAATAGCACGTCTGGAGCATGCTTTATACATCCTAAGACAATGTGTTGACAACATGATAATTAACTAATTGGCAATTGCCGTGTGTAAGAGAGTAACAAAACATTTTCCAGAAAATAATTAAAATTATTAGAAAAGTTTTGAAATTTCGAATACTAGAATGTTTGTTGGTCGGTCGGTTGAAAAAGGTCGGTAGTGTGTCGAGAGATGAGTACAATATTGGAGCTAAAAGAAGATTAGGAAGAAATACGAAAAAGTGAAAAAGTGATAATAAGTGAAGTAAAGTCATATTGAAAGTGTAATTATTGGTGAAAAATAGTGTTCAAAGGTTGAATTAAGCCAGAACTATGTATAAACTGCGTGTGATTGTGAACCACCGGAAGTGATTGTTGCGAACAAGAAGTCAGAAACATCTGTACTACAGAAGACGTACTTTACTTTCCGATCCCAGAACTCGTAAAAAAGAACTCGCACGACTTCGAAAATATCCGATTAGGTATCTATTCTAAATGAAAACCCCCGTTTAGTTATTTTTTACATTTTAGTGCCTGGAAGTCGGTTTTTTTTTTAGTTTTTTTTAAGTTTCAGACGTCGGAAATATCTGATTCGGTATCTATAGTAAATGAAAACTCCCATTCAGATATTATTAACTGTTTAGTGTTTTCAAGTTGGTTTTCTTTAAGTTTTTTTGTAATAATTTCCATTAAGCTTTTGCTTTATTATATTAGAAGGCATATAACACAAAATTTAAAACTCAAGAAGAGTCAAGTTACTCGTTACAAGTCAAAAGTTTTATCTTTCTCTTTTGTTTTATGTTGAAAACTTAAAAATAATTAACTTATATTCTTCTCAGTTTTCTAGAAAAGTTAGACCAACTTAAAGTCAAAATATGTGTTACTTTAACATTGTTTATTTCAAACTAGCTAATTGAAGATGTAATGTGTAATACTTAAGTTACTAATATATAGTGTCATTTAAAACAACGACAGTAGTAAAAATGCAGGATCTGTGTTCGATTGCCGGGTTGGGCCAAAAATAAATTAGAGTTTTATATTAATGCCTCCACGACCGCGGACACGCCGGCGTTACAGTTAACAATAGATTTCTTAGAAATTTAATAAATTTCTTAGAAATTTACCTGGAGGTGATAAGAGATTCTCAGTAGCAGCCTGAAGTTTTGCTCGTCCCGCGACTGATCTTTCACCAGTCTTACATACTTTTATTACGGTCCCATTGAACTATGAGAGTAAAGAAATAAAGAGGGCTGTTTGCGCTATCAGGAGAATTTTTATTTATCAACGTTTCAATTAAGAGGAAAAGTAGTACCTATCTATATTAGTAATTCCAAAATTAGTAAATTATAACCAATAAATTTAGCTGTAAAGCGTCGGTGAGTTTTTTGTAGTTGCTCCAATGAGGGTGGCATGTTCAATTTATGAACAAACCCTCTTTAAAAATAAAATAAAGATTATAAAAAAAAATAAAAATAACTAATAAATTCTTTTAGCTGAATTATATGTGTCTTTTTCTGTATTTGTATTAGAGTCTATATGAAACTGAAGAAGACATTAACGGTAGAAGACTTGGTTAGGAGATGTATTAAAATTGGTTTGCAATATTGGTAAATTCCTTAATTCCCGCAGCGATAAAATGTTTAAGAACGTTACATCTATATTGACAACTAGCATTGCCCGCGGCTCCGCCCGCGTTTAGATGACCAAAAAGAAAATTCTTAGGTTTTACATATTAGTATACTCTTACAATGCAGTTTTTGTATTTTTTCTCAGAAATGAGATACTTTCCCGCGGTAAAAAGTATCCTATATGTTGATCCGGATAACCAGTTATCATCATACCAAATTTCATCAAAACCTGTCCAGTGGTTTTCTCGTGATGCGGTAACAGACAGACAGACAAAAATTCTAAAAACTATAGATTCGGACTCTGTATCGATAATAATGGCTATTTCAATTAGATTTTCCAAAAAATATTTAATGTACAGATTCGACTTAGTTACAATTTTATTATATGTATAGATATCAAAAGTATCGTTATTGGATATTGGTGTTACGCTAGATTATTTTACTTATTATACTAACGCCCTGCTACGACTTTGAATGGTTTTTTTAATCAACTTACTCAGTTCAGTTGTTTGTTTCTTTGTTTGTCATGACACATTTGTTTGATGACATGATTTTTAAAGAACTAATGAATGGATTTTTTTAATCTCAATATAAGTAATGGGGTTTATAAGTAATGAAAATAAAAAAAAACAATCTTAACGGTGAATTTTACTATAAATTATTAAAAATTTAATTATCTATGACACAAAATTTGATCGAAATCGATATAGTACTTTTGAATTGCGACCAAATTAACGTTACTGAAAGACATCCCACAACGTAACTCCTGTACAATTTTATCACATACTATATTGATAATTGATAATTTATTTCTATAATTTCTAGCTATTTGTTTGAATTAATCTTTGTCACTGTATTTATTTATACGTTCATCCCCTGAAAATGTCTGGATTTATTTCAATGAAATGAGAATTTTAAAAGTTCTCATTGAAGCCATAGTAAAATGGAGACGACAAGACGACTCAAGGCGTATACATTAAATTTAATTAATAATCTTCAGTATACATTTAAATAAAAAATATAAAAAATAAGGCATCTCCGTATGCTCTTATAATTGAAAAAAATAACGTAGTTCAGACCAATTTTTAAAAACGCGATAAGTGTTCTGAGAGCTTGAACGAATCTAGGGCGGGTCGCGAGTTCGATTTATCATGTAAATAAATAATAGTTCACATTCAACAACTTCTCTAGATTGCCTTATGTATGTATATAAGAGGTTCATAAACACAAATGGATCACATAGACATTCTCCCCATTACAACAAGATTTACATATATATATCCATATATCCGGACTGGACCGATTTGGATGAAATTTTGTGTGTATATTTGAATGGGCTCCTGGATGATTTGAAAACGCAAATGGACCCAGTAGGTGGCGCTGTAGTCGGTGTACCACTGATCATCTTCGTGACCATCACTGATCATGATCCTGTGAATTTTGTTAGCGATCGGAAGTTTGGACGCGGGCGAAGCCGCGGGTACTGCTAGTATATATATATATATATATATATATATATATATATATATATATATATATATATATATAGCTCAGGTTGGGGATTTGTTAGCGATCGGAAGTTTGGACGCGGGCGAAGCCGCGGGTACTGCTAGTATATATATATATATATATATATATATATAGCTCAGGTTGGCCCAAATTTAATTACTAAGTTTTTCTGTTAAGATATTCTTAGTAGTATTAAGGAAGAAGGAGGATGGTGGTACACCCCTGTGCCTCGGAGTGCACGTAAAGCCGTCGGTCCCACCGGTCGTGTCTAAGTATGTCTAAGTATCGTCCCATCGGACCTTAAAAGTGAAAGTGAAAGGAATAGAGAGTGCAATTGTGTTGGTGCGTACACTTGTGCACTATAATATTTCCTGGGCGGTTGGCTAGTCTCAGTAATTAATTGGCCGCCGTGGTCGGAATCGGTCAGGACGACATAGTTATCATTAAATATCTTATATTACTTTTTCCCGCAGCTCCACTTTCGACAATAAGTGGCCGATATGTTATTGCATTATTGTATGCTCAGTTGCCTCCATTTTAAAAAGAATATCTCATATCCTTTGAGCGACTATAACAGAAAGAAATAACGAAAATGAGCGGAAGCATTATAAGTATGATAATTAATTCCCTCTATCGGGAATCAAATCTCACGTCAGACTATCGTCACCCTTTGGAAATGTGTGAATCGAATATTCGATATATGTACAATGTACATACTACAAATATATAATGTTTCGTATATATAAAACATTTCAGTCTGCTACCTACAAAGAAATAGAAGTATACTGTTCGAGAAAGTCAACTATTCAAACCCTCTTTTCTTTTACGATAAAGCTAAAAATCTGAAGAAAATCTTTTCGATAATGTTATGTAGATAGTGTACTATAAAGTCGATTACGCCTTTCTACCAAAATATGTAAGACAAACATTTTCAAGCTTGTGTTCGTGTGGAAATAATATTGTCGCGTATGGAGAGTGTGTGACGTCATTACACCAAAAATAATAATTAAAAAACCGGCCAACTCGCGCACGAAGGGTTCCGTACCATTATCTATAAAAACGGCAAAAAATCATGTCTGTTGTATGGGAGCCCTTTTAATTTTTTTTTTTGTAAGATACAGCGGCTAGCCCTTGACTGCTTTCTTTTCAAAATGAACATGATATATACCTCTAGTATGGTCCAAATAAATTTCAAGAACTAAATCTACCGCTAAGGGGAGTTATCAATACTTACTTATAGAATTATTTAGAAGTACCATATGTCTGTAGTTGAAAAGTACAAATTTTACCATTACTTCAGACTAAACAATAATATTTTGAAATCTTATCTAAGTGGCAAATGCGAATAACGAATATTTAACAGAGTCCCTTACAGATGGATAAACCTGTCCAAAACATCAGTAGTGCTCCTGATCGTAATAGATGCGTGGGTTATAACTTAATGTATAGATTATGATGATAGCAATATAGGTAGTATAAGTAATCTATACATATAATAAAATTGTAACTAAGCCGAATCTGTACATTAAATATTTTTTGGCAAATCTTATTGAAATAGACATTATTATCGATACAGAGGCCGAATCTATAGTTTTTAGAATTTTTGTCTGTCTGTCTGCCTGTCTGTTACCGCATCACAGAAAAACCATTGGAGGGATTTTGATGAAATTTGGTATGGTGATAGCTGGTGGTTATCTGGGTTATATAGGACTTTTTACCGCGGGAAAATATCTTATTTCTGAGAAAAAATACAAAAACTGCATTGTGAGAGTACCTATACTAATATGTAAAACCTAAGAATTTTGTTTTTGGTCATCTGAACGCGGGCCGCGGGCAATGCTAGTCAATAATATTATTAACAAGCGAGTTACCCTCACTCCGCACGTGTACGTCTCTAGGTTCGATTTAAGTAGATATAAATAGTTATTGCGAGTCTACCTTAGTAGAAAACTTATGCTATTGCAGATTTTCCTATAGGTCTTTTTAAGGCCTACAGTTTTCTAGTACATTGTTTTGATGTAACTCTTAAGGTATAGCCATCAGCCAGCATTAGAAATTTTAGTTTTCTAAGGACTGAATGGAGTGGGAAGAATTTCCTTTAGTAAAAAATATCCTAAATGTTGACCCGAGTAATAAGTTATCAGTATTATCACAACACAAATTTTAGTTAAAATGGGTCCTGTGTACTGTACTTTTTGCGTGAAACGTTTTTTTAATAATTATTTAATTATTGTTTTGGGGTACCTATATTATATCCTGAACATAATACGTTACAGTCATTGTTTTTAAAAAATATTTCATGTACAGATTTCACTAAGTTACTGTATATACATATATGTATATGCATATATATATATATATATATATATATATATATATATATATATATATATATATATGATATGATAGGCACTTAATTAGTACTCTTAAATATTCTATTCTTCCTATGATGAATAATTTGAATTTAATGTTTAATTAGCTATTAATTTACACAAGAGATTAAACTAAAATACGAGTATATACGAATAGGTACAAAGGCTTAAAGATTCTTAGAAGCCATTTTTTATTCTGTAATTTCAATTTTGAACAACCAAATTACTTTGTTCAAAAGTTATGTTAAAGTTAGTTCATAATATACCAAATATATTTTAGAAATATAACAGTGGTACTTAAAGTTATTTTTATCTTAAATGAAATTATTTAAACAAATTTTTCAGGTAAAACTTATACTTTATTTGAAAATTTATTTTTTTCTCGTATCACAAACTGTTATGTTCAAAATGTTCATATTACAAATTCAATTAGAATTGATTTAACTGAATTATATTTAAGTACTCATTGTTTTTTCATATAACTTAAGACATCATTTATTTTATGGCAAAGTTCAGTCTGAATTATTAAGGTATCAAGTGTGCATTTTCGTATGTTTTTCTGTTCGACCATGGAAAGTCGTATCCAGTACACGTATCACGTATTACAATACAACTTTTCTTTCTCTTATTCAGTAATATACTGTCATCAAAACTTAGTATCTTTACTCTTATTGGTTTAGGACTTCGAACTACATCATATATATCAGAAATAGATGCTGATTTTCTGTTATTGAATCGTTTTTCTGATAATTTTTGAACATTTTCTTCATTTATTATAATTTCATTTTCGCATTCGCTAGTTTTAAGATTGCTATTCGATGACTTTGTCTTCTTGAGTACTTTTTGAACAACTTGTTTCATTTGTTCCGGTGAAATTAAAGCCACGACATTTGGATTAGTATTTGTAATCATTTCTACAGCTCGATGTTTACTTTGTGAAATTTTATCATGATTCTTAAAATCACCATTGTGACTCAACTCATCATATGTATCGATTGTCTCCGTTGAGTTGTCGCGTTCGTCAACATCTTTTAGAATATATTTATATGTAGCCTGACGAAATATGCCTTCCAGATCTTGCTTTGTAGTAGATGTTATATGATCATCGCTCTCATTATTATTAGTAGTAACAGATTCTAATGTTTTGTATACATTTCGTTTTTTGTAGTAAATTTTACACAATAAATATATTATAGCAACGATCATCAATAAGTATCCAGCTCCAATAATATAGATACTATATATAGGCAATTCTATGCATCCGTCTCCCATGGCAAAGAAAATATTTCTGAAATAAATTTTACTGATTACTACTTGTGAAGTTACAGGTTTTAATATAAAACTTTTATATATATATATATATATATATATATATATATATATATATATATATATATATATATATATATATATATATATATATATATATAGATGTAATTTTACTTTTAAAATTTATATAGATACTTAATAAAACTAAATAAACTGAAATATATTATGAGTATTTTAAAATGAAACCTTTAGTACCGAACTGGTAGTAGACTCATGACGTTCAGTAAAAAATTGTAATAATTTAATGCTCAATAAAATATTTTGAATTTTGAAAAGTAACAATTACAATATTACCTTCTCTAATATATGTATAGGTACTGCTTGCGTGCACTTTTAACATAGATCACTATATACTCTTAGATACATTATTGTTATTTTTAATTTCATTTTATCCATTTGTTGGTTGGATACATTGTAAATTTACATATTCTATTTAAACAAAGTACATAACAGAACTAATCCCCATAAGGATAAAACAGTTAAAGCATGGATATAATTTTAAATGAGTATAGGTATTTATAATATAACAGTTTTCCTCATATGATTAGGTTTTTCAGACATATGTAATATGTGCGTATTTATTATGTAGTAAGAAATGAAAACGAACTGTCCATGAGTGCTATATAAATAACTTTTTAAATAAATATGTTGGGACATTAACACACAGCACCATCTAGTTACATGGTACGCTACGAGGCTTGTGTTATGGATACCAGATAGTCGATACACTACATATATGTGTCATCACACAAATAAATGCCCCCAGCGGGAATCAAACCCGCGAACGCTAGCACAGCAAGTAGCACTACAAAGTGAGCCGAACGTGTCGTTCACGGGTTTAAACAGTTTATTTTGGGAATGCCTCACATCTTATAAAAATCGATAGCTTAGAAGAACTTAGTTCAAAATAACTTACTTCAATATATTGTTAACTTATAAGTTTCATTCCACATAATACTAATAATAATAATAATAATAACTCCTTATATCGTAATTATATATTCCGAGAAAAAAAGATATGGATAATAAAAACTTTTTATTAAATTTTATTTAATTTAAAGAAAAAAAACAATACAGTAGTATAAAAATGCACAAGAGGCGGCGTTATCGCTAAAACAGCGATTTCTTCCAGGCAACCTTTACATGTAGAAAACAGCAAAGTGTGGAAGGGGTGTGAACACAAAGTTATAAATAAAGTGATATATACTTATACATATACATACATACATATGATATTATATACACGTATAATATAAATATTAGTAATAAAATAAATAAATTAGGTATACCTAAATAATATAATAATAAATATATATAAAACTAGCGGACCCGACAGACGTTGTCCTGTCTACACGTCTTTAATTTAAAAATTTCAAACTTTTTTTATTATTTTTTTTGATGAAAATTATTATTCAAATTGTGAATCTAAACCATTCCCAGATCCCCTTGAACATACACAAAAAATTTCATCAAAATCAGTCCAGTCGTTTGAGAGAAGTTCAGTGACATACACACTCACAGAAGAATTATATATATAAAGATAATAATATCAGTTCAACCAAATAAATAACCACATGTAACCCTCTTAGACACAAATTTACAAAAATACTGTCGTAGTGCTCTTTGACGTTACATAAGAATTTCTGTGCAAAATTTCAAGTTCTGAGTTAAATGTTTTTTTTTATAATAAATTGGTTATTAATAAATTTGATTAATTCAAGTATATCCGCTGTAATAGGTAGTTAATGATGATTGTCATTTTATTAGTTAACAAGCGATTCATCCTCACTCCGCTCGGGTTCGCCCCTATTTACGTTTTAAGGTTTAGTATAGATTTCTCAGAGATGAGATATTTCTTCGCTATAAAAAGTATCCTATATGTTGACCCGGATAGCCAGCTATTATCGTATCAAATTTCAATAAAATCACTCCAGTGGTTTATCCGTGTTGCGGTCACAGACAGACAAAAATTCTAAAAACTATAGATTCGGCCTCTGTATCGATAATAATGTCTATTTCAATAGGATTTTTCACATAATGTACAGATTCGGCTTAGTTACAATTTTATTATATGTATAGATATTAGTCATTTTTATTACAAAGCAAATGTTGTGAGGGATAAAGCACCAAAATTTTATTACTTACTAAGTATAATAGGATACTGTGATTGATAGATTTTGTTTTATTTTATTTTATTTCATAGTATTCTTTATTTATTTATTGCGTCTATACCTATACAGTTTTACTGCGACCATCCCTGGTCTATTTCATATACATACTGGAATATTATTTTATCCTAGAGTACCTAAATGTTTATTCGTAAAGTTAAAATCTTTTTCTCGTTTTCTATTAAGGAAGAGCAAATTCAATTGTAATATAATTTTAATTTAGAAATACTTTTGGGGCAGTTTATTAATGTATAAATAATATTAAATAATATATTATATATATATATATATATATATATATATATATATATATATATATATATATATATATAGTTCTTAATAAAAAAAATGGAAAACAGACCTCATAAAGAACTGACTGTCAATTCCAGTCTATCCTGTACACTACTTAAATTTATAAATATTTTATATATTAAAATTAAAAGCAACTTTTTGGGTTTTTTTCAGGAATTTATTTAGATTTTTGGTTCCCGACGTTTCGAATGCTTTACAGCAATCACGGTCACGTGAGAAACAAAATGTCTCTGTTGAGAAAAAAATCACTATAAATCCGAAAAAATAGTTTTATTTTAAAATGTCAAATATTCCCGTAAATCTAAGAAAGTATTGATATTTTACATATTTAATACTATAACAAATTACAGTGTTAAAAACAGTTTTAAAAAAAATTATCTACTTCCTTTTACGTTTATGATAGAGTTTAATCTAGTTCTATTTAACAAAATTTTCAAATGTAAATACTAATTTTAAATATCCGATGCGTGAAATAAGTTTAAATTGCAAAAACTGTATTTCATGCGTAAGCATTAGCTCATTTATTTTGCCTCATGCGGTTAATTGACATCCGGTGATACATTCGTCTGGTTATGGTGTGTTTAGTTTAGGTAATTTTGTGCTTTTTCTTAGAAAGATTTAACTATTCTCTACTTTCTATATAGATTTTTTTTCATACCATAAGTAGAAGATCGCGATTTAGTTCAACCTCCCTATTTTAGTTTATTAAACATTGTAAGATAGCGAAATTATTATATTTTATACATTAAACTAGCGACTCACCCTCGTTCCGCTTGGGTTCTTCCTAGATACGTTTTATTGGTTAGTATAGATTTCTAAGAGATCCCGGGGGAGAAGCCAACTCCTACCGGGCGCGTCCCCAGGTGGCGGATAGGGGAATGCCACCCGCTTAGGGCGGCGGGTGGTACCGGAGAAATCCGGCGCGGACCAAATGGCTTGGATGGGGCCGCTCGTCTAGGCCTCGAGCCGAAGACGTTGCGGCCACCGGTGGTGGGACCGCTTGGTCCCACAACCGGATGATGGGTGCCGGTTGCGGGACTGTAGTCGCAGGCCCGCATCCGGCGGAGGGGTAGGCCGCGGCGGGAGAGGAGTGCCGGTATTTCGGTGCGCCGTTCTCCCTACCTTCCGCGGCCTAGACGGGGCCGCCACCGTTTGATGGCGGACGCGGTGGGGCTGCAGGGGAAGAGGAGCGTCGGTGTTTCGTTGCCGCTCTCCCTGTCCTCTGCAGCCGATTGGAGGTGGCCCACTTCGGTGGGCGGAGGTTCGGTTTTATGGAGCTGCTCCGGGTACCTCTCTGGTGTAGCAGAGTAGACTGTGGAGCAGCCCCATCGGTGTGGTGGTCAGCCGTTGGCAGACCTGCCGCCGGGGCGCCGTAGTAGTTATGCGCAAGCGATCCTGCGGCGTCCCATTAAGGCGGAGGGGAGGGGAATGTCGGGTTTTAGTGGGTAATACCGGCTCTTCTAGCCGGTGAGCCCCACATCACCACCTGGGGGATCAGGTGGTATGCGTAAATGCATTTCCCGACATAAAAAAAAAAAAAAAAGATTTCTAAGAGATGAGATATTTTCCCGCAGTAAAAAGTATCTTATATGTTGACCCGGACAACCAGCTATCATTATACTAAATTTCATCGAAATCTGTCCCGTGGTTTTCGTGTGATGAGTTTCCAGACAGACAAACAGACAGACAGATAGACAGACAGATGGACTGACGGACGGACGGACGGGCAGATGGACAGACAGACGGACAAAAATTCTAAAAACTATAGATTCGGCAGCTGTATTGATAATAATGATTATTTCAGTAAGATTTCCCAAAAAAAAAAATCGTTAGAATTTTACTATACGAGTATGTATAGATTATATACTTACTATATTGCCCCGCTAACATTTCTTACCACACCCAAGGATTACCTGGGAGAGATCTCTTATATTTAAATTACATACAGTATACAGAAATAGGCTTCATCGTATTTTTATTATATTATTGGAAAGTTAAAAATTCTAAGTATAAATTACTATTTTATTATAATACAATATTTTATTATATGTACCTATAGCTTTTTCACTACATATCTATACTATAATAAAGCAGTAGAGGTCGAATGTCTGTACATAGCAAAAAAAATGCTAAAAACCGAGTCAGGGGGGTGTAAGAAGACAAATAGAACAAATCCAGATTTTTTTCAAATTTTTTGTTTTGTGTTTGTCTGTTTGTACGGGCTAATCTCCGAATCTATTGAACCGATTTAAATGAAATTTTGCATGGTGGTGGTGGCCTTATATCCCCGGGCAATATCTTAGATACTTTTTATTCCGGAAAATAAAATAGTTCCCGTGGGATAGTTAAAGAACTATAGTAACTTATACAGCTTAGTACACAACAACTTATGCACCTAATTTAGTAAAATTTAACATTCTGATACCTTATATTGCCGGTTGAACAACAGGTTACTTTTCATCC